AGAGAGAGAGAGAATGACGAAGAGAGAGAATGGCAGAGAGAAAGACAGGCAGGTCACCGGGAGGAAGAGAGAGAGAGAGAAAAGAATGAAAAACTGGCACACACACACATACACACACACACACACACACACACACACACACACACCACACACACACACACACACACACACACACACACACACACACACACACACACACACACACACACTCACACACACACACACACGCACGCACACACATACACACGCACAGACAGACCAACAAGCAGACAGAGAAATTAATCAGAAATACATACACAAAAAAGTAATATTTCCCTAATTTCTGATAGTCGTTAGAAACCTCCAATTGGCTTTATCTTCACGAAGGCTTCATGTACACAATTTAAACAATAAATTATTTACGAGACACGAGCTCATGACTCTCAGAAACTCTCAGTGTTCAGAAAGATGCTTTTGTTTTCTGTAGACTATTTTTAGCTCTTTAATTAACTGTTATTAGTCTGTTTTCTTTAACTTTTTGCTCTAGATTATCTCATCTATTTTTTGTTATTTACGTTTGGTTCTTGTTTCTCTTTTCTTTTTTTCTGTTATTAATCTGTTTTCTTTCACTTTTAGCTCTAGATTATTCATCTATGTTTTGTTGTTGTTTACTTTTGGTTGTTGTTTTTCTTTTCTTGTTTTTTCTTTGACTTTTAGTTCTTGTTTTCATTTTTCTGTTTATTTTTGCTCTTATTTTGTCTTTTTTTCTTTTACTTTTTTAACTCTTGTTTATCTTTTCTGTTTTCTTTTGCCCATTTTATCGCTTCTTCTTTCTCCTTTCCTTTGTTGTCTTTGACATTTAGCCTATTTTAACTCTATTTCTTTCGTATTATATTTTCCTTGACTCATTTTATCATTCATTTCTCCCTTCTGTCTGTCTGTCTGTGTGTCTGTCTGTCTCTCTCTCTCTCTCTCTCTCTCTCTCTCTCTATCTATCTATCTATCTATCTTTCTCTCTCTCTCTCTCTCGCTCTCTCCTCTCTCTCTCTCTCTCTCTCTCTCTCTTCTCTCTCTGGCGCGCTGCGCGCGCGCGCGCGCGCGTGTGTGTGTGTGTGTGTGTGTGATAGTTAGATAGAGAGGTAAACAGATAGAAATATATATATGTTGTGTACAAGTCTGAACAAAAAACGCAGTGACGTGTTAATTACCATAAAATTAAATGCTATTGCAATGAAAATGGAATAAGGTCATGGCGTTTTGAACACTTCAAAAGGTCCTTGTCAGACGTTTATATATATATCTAAAAAAGAAAAGATTCGTTTTTTTTTTTTTTTTTTTTTTTTTTTTTTTTTACATACGTTTGATGAATTCTTGACGATTCTGAGTGGCAACAATTTTGTCTCGTTTCTTTCATGGCAAAGGCGAAAGAGGAAGTAAAAAAAAAAGAAAAAAGAAAAAAGAAAGAGAGAGAGAGAGAGAGAGAGATGAAAGGAGCAAAGGAAAAATGAAAAGGGAAAGAGAATTGCGAAATTGTAGCTGACTATATTACATCTATTCTCTTTATTTAATATTATAATCTATTTATTTATTCATTTATTATTTTTACTTTTATTTCTTTCTTTCTATCTTTTTTACCTGTACCCTACGAGTACATGTCTTCTTCTCACCAACTTATTTAATATCATTATCTATTTCTTTATTCATTTACTTATTTCTTTTATATCATTTTTTTACTTTTTATATCTTTCTTCTTTATTTTTACCTGTACCTTACGTTTACATTCCTCCATCTTCCCCAACCCACAAACATCTCACCAACTTATTTAATATCATTATCTATTTCTTTATTCATTTATTTTTTTTTTTTTACCTTTCTTTCTTTTTCTTTCTCTCTTCCCCAACCCACAAGCGTCTACATTTCCTCTTTCTTCCTCAACCCACAAACATCTCACCAACTTATTTAATATTATTATCTATTTCTTTATTAATTTATTATTTTTTTACCTTTCTTTTCTTTCTTTCTCTCTTCCCCAATCCACAAGCGTCTCACCAACTGACCACGCCCCTTCTCCCCCCCCCCTTCTGCTCCTCCCGCAGGCAAGAACAAGCTGATCATCAAGAAGTTCCCGGCCAACGGAGGCAGCGAGAAGCTCCTCTCCGTCGGCAGCGAGCGAGTCATCCCCGACCGCCGGATCACCGTGGGCGAGGGGCGTCTGACCATCTCGCACGCCCGCCCTCGAGACGCAGGGACCTTCCTGTGCCAGTTCGACCTGGAGCCGCCCTTGCAGCTGCGCCACACCCTCGACGTGCAGTACGCCCCCTCCGTCAAGGCCCTGGTGGCTCAGGAGCTCCACGTGACCAAGGGGGAGAACGTGACCTTGAGCTGCCAGGCGAGGGGAATCCCCCGCCGATCATCAGGTGGTCCCGGCAGGAGGGGACTTTGCCCTCGGGACAACGGAACCAGGAGGTGCGTGTGGGGGTGTTGTTGGGGGGGTTAGGGAGGGGGTGGGGTGGGGGGGGGA